ACTCAGTTAGGAATCTGTAATCGATAAGTGACTCTCCATAAATAAAAAGTATCGAGATCATCCCAGGAAAAGATCCCTCGACAGTCGCACAGTCTCATTGTACGAGTTTCCCGGACTCAGTGAAAGATCGCTTCCTGCAATCTTCGGCTCGCGAATGGTTTCTTCATATTTTCCAGTAGATGCCATCAAGCACTAGCATAACCAAAAAAAGATGGGAACAAAAGTCGCATCGGAAAGTAACTAGCTAGCGGAAGTCAACACACTATAGTATTCACGACGGTTCATGAAATCGTCATATGACGCTCGAGGAAAAACGCGCGGTAATTAACGGTGTAAGTCGTTGTCACGTAAGCTAGATTGGTAGTAGGTAGGCTCAGTGGTATGTTTCTTGGCTTCTCGCACTTGGGTCTGAGGGGAGTGGTATACTCTGTGCGACTGCAGACCTGGCTACCAAACTCAGGAAGGGCTAATGCCGTTTGGACTCCAGAAATTTCGGCTCCGAGCTCATTTTAAAAGTGGCAAGATCACCAAATCCGCTAAAAACTTGTATATAGGGTAATTCAACATCCTGATCACGAATATGACATTCATTTTTGGCGCTGGCGCTAATGGATGACACTACGGTTACCTGCGCTCTGCTAAGGCTGAGCCCAGGAGGTAATCGTAGTGTCCTCTCTTGGCGCCAGCGCCAAGAATGAGTGTCATACTCGTAATCAGGATGTTGAATTACCCCTATATACAAGTTTTTAGTGGATTTGGTGACTTAGGCAATTTGAAAATGAGCTCGAAGACGAAATTTCTGGAGTCCAAACGGCATTAGCCCGCAGGAAGGGAGCGTTCAGACTTCGCGACGGCAGCGCTTCGGTCGCGCGATTCGACGATCGATGCGCATGCTTTCGACTGCATCGATCGAACGCGCGACCGAAGCGCTGCCGTCGCGAAGTCTGAACGCTGCCGTCGCCACTGATGCTACTGTGATGTTATCTCAGCTACCCAGATACGTGTGTCGCTATCTACTCCCGCCTTCAAGAGGCGTGCTACGGAAACATTCGTAAGCAAAACTGTAGCGAAGTAGTCCCCAAGAGAACCGTAAGGAACATGCTTCCCACACATTCTGCCATTTTGCTATCGCATCGCAAGATATGATCGCAGTCTAGGCGTTTCCGCGCCCTCTTACCGGTGCTAAAGTCGTAGAGCAGCGCCCTTGTGTCCCTTCCCGTAACTGTTCTGTGACCTCACACATTTCTACAAATCATGTATGGTAGTAGGTTAAACCTGGATCACTATCCCATGAAAAGCCTACCCCTGCCTCACTCTCATGTATTTGGTACCCTTGGGAGTCGTTCCCCTGTCTGAGATGAAAAATTTGAGAAGATTGCTCGTGTGTTCATTTGATGCCATACGTGCTCGGCTTATGCTTTGCGCGTGTTCAAGGCTGTGTTCATACTTTTTCTCGACCTTCTAGGCGCTTAGAGGGTTTTGTAGGAACGCTAGCGTATCATGCGAGAGGAAAAGTTAGGTATCGCTATAGTATTGGAGGAACGTCAGCGTTGCTGTAGTGGGCGTTCTAGAAAAATGAGCTAAAAGTGATTGATTGGTGACTATCTTCTTTTTTTCTTGCGTATACTCTGGCGTTTCCCCTTAAACACTCGTAACACTCAGAATGCTGACGGAACGTAGATCAGAGCGCGACGAGCGCGTTCATTCTTCGCTGCCGAGCGATCCGATCGCGAGATTTCGAAGTATGAACGCGCTCAAATACCGCGCAGACTTTGCGATACAATTGCTTAAGCGACCCGACCGCGAAGTCGTAAACGCGGTCTAAAAGAGGTTGCTTATTTTCAACTTATGTCTTCTTTAGAGTTTTCTCAAATTATGTTGTTTAACCCATTGCGTACCGCGGCGTTTTTTTCGCTGGCTGCCGCGTGTGCCCGAGCCATATTTCGCAACCTCGCCGGCGTGCTGCACATGGTGCAGCACGCGGCCACGCAGAGCGGTATTTCTCGCGCCCGCAGCGAAGTATAAACTCAACGTACGTCGTTTCGCTTCTCCAGGCTATTTTTTTGAGAAACTACGCTTAATTTATGGTAGCTGTTCCAAATAGGCAATGATGGACGCGAAATAGATCGTTTGATGAACTTCTGATTGAAAATGATAACGAAGTGATGGGACAGGGCCCCGATACCCTGAAGATATGTTTGTCCGCGTGAATCATTAAAGTGATGAGTCCGATTGGGAATCAAGCGAAGAAGGCTCAGATACAAACGATGGAGGATTCAATGGACCCCAAATATCAGCAGGCAGAACAATTTTGACTTCCAAGGTTTCGGTGGTGTACTGGATGAAGATGTTCTATTTTACCAGTACCCAATCAGATTTTTCCGGCGATTTTTCACAGACCATCTCGTTGATTTGATTGTAAGAGAAGCCGATCGTTATGCTATCGCAAAGTACTTGAACTGGATCAATCTCGACGAGGGCGAACTACCTTTCCCGGACGAATGGTGCTCCGTACGCTAGAAACCACACAATATTAGTGAATACAGGATGCAACAACCAATCAATATTTCTGCATTATGTGTTTCCACACATATCATCAACGGTGTCCTGTTTAATCCTTTATGAGTGTTTATGAACGTTGAAAATAAATGAAGATCACAATTGAAGTATTTCATGAAAGAGGTCAATAACCCAAGTGCTCCTTCAGCGATCGAGGTCCCACGTACTTATGTTGTTCTCCGTGTTCGAAAACATATGCTCGCAAATTTGTAGCAGAAAAGGATGCAAAATAATCCAGATGGAGCGAAAAAATCATCGTGCTGCACCATGTGCAGCACGCGGCCATACAGCGACGAATGAGCGTGCTCAATGGGTTAAAAAAATTCACAAAACTCTCGCTCCAGACACGGAAAAAAAGGAGATTGAGACCAGCGAGGGGTCAACGGTTCACAAGTGTGAGGCACACCCTTTGT